TATACACCGGTTGTACGCCCCCGATCCTATCCCGACAGGAGTCACAGAATTTCAGGAATCACGAAGATACGCTAGCACTGACTGGCTACCCCCACATGTCAGGTATCACGAGAGTGTGTTGAGTTGCACGGTGTTGCGGATTTGCTCCTCCCCGATTACCAGCTCCCGCTCTTCGCATCCTCTCCTGGTTTTTTTTTGAATATTTCTTTTTCGATTTTGCTGGAGTTTGCTCAGTGATCCCCTGTTCTCTCGATAGTATCCGCATCCGTGTGGATTGTGTTGCGGAATAACTCAACGGGTGTGTTCCCAACGAAGCGTGCACGTATACCTCGCAAAATGTTACCGCGCTGTTATCGGCGCTAATAGACTGCAGATGTATATTCGTATAGATACAATTATTCAATTGAATCATCAAAGAGACTTTCAGCTTTACCTTGATATCGTATTGTTGCAAGATTCAAGCAAAATTGATTACATTCAAACGCAATTTCTGAAGAAGAAAATTCCTGAGAAGAGTGATAATTGTAATTGGAATAATAATTGCAAATTGCTGTCACATAGGTAAATTAACAAAAGTCGATTAGTATTATCAGACAAATTAAGCAAATTTGATTGAACATTAGGAAAGATTCTCGGTAGCACGATTAAACGATATAATTAAAGTCAAAGTATAACAATTTTTTTTAGAAGCTAGATCGATATTTTAAGCAATTTGAAAAATGTATAACTGATCCAAAAATAAAAAAAAACAAGAAAAGGATTTGAAAATCCTATCTATACATATCTACATACAAAAGCCTCAAAACTTATAAAAGGTCCACTTGTGAACGTTTACTCCGTTAATAAGTCATTTAACGTGTTTGAATTGTATCAAACGACGTAGAGGATAATTGACGATGTTGCTAAATAGAGGCAGAGCCAGAACGCAGCCTTAGAAGCGTGCTAAATCCCTTTTTGCCATGCTACCATCGAATCGGATCCCAGTTTGCGTTTTTGCCTTAAAACCGCACGATACGACTTCCCTTGACATCTCGTGCCTCAATGCGAACGCGTCGCACGCGTTATCCTCTGTGCCTTCTCTTTACCTCGTTTTTTTGAAACTGGTGCAAAATCGGCTTGAAGGTGCGTGCCTAAACAACTGCCGGGGCCGCAGCCCGAGCCGCCCATCTTCTGCATGACGAGCGACTCGCGAAACACGACCTTCGTCATCGAGTGCTGCAAAGAGAGGGATTTTTGCAATCAGGATCTCAAACCTCAGCTACACCCTATCAACAATGAAGGTATGGTCTAAACAGACCTGGAAGTCACGAAAACTCTGCAGGTGGCACAGGCTTTAGCTGCAAGCTCTTCTTTCTCACTTTCTCTCTTTTTTTTTCTCTATCTCTGCAACATGACTTGTAAAATATATTCTCGCTCTACTTCGAATTCGGAGTTTTAGTTGGTTATTTTTTTGGTTGTCGATCCATACCGGTCTGCATAACGAATTTCAAAACGGTGTAGGTATTATTGGAGAGAACGATGTTTAATAATTAAAACGTAGCAGTTGCACGATTATTTGTAAACTTAAAATATTCGTGATGTTAGTCATATTAAATAGTATGAGTACTGTAGGATAGAATAGTATATACAAAAAAATTCCTAAAACTATATAAACTAAGTTTAACAAGAATCAAAGCGAAACACGTAATTGTGTATGTGGCACAAAGAAGAAACTGTTTCCAAGTTTGAAGCTAGTTTGACCTATCTCACGCAACTATTTACTTAAAGCGTTAAAGGGGCAGCTTTACTCGCAGTAACTTCCAAAACTATCGAGTTCTTGTTTATATAAGTTAATATATCCTTAATTAATTTTATTACATTAACTTTATTTATATATAATTAATATAACGGTTATAATCAGATTTTTATTGCTATCGGATTATTTTATGCAAGATAAACTATTGCTCGTTTAATAGAACTATCGAATTTCGCGAATGTGTATTTCGCGTAAGTACTCTATTACTTGCTTAATCGCATGTTCAAAATACAGAATATTAAAAAAAAAGTATTCCATAGAGTACATATATTTTTTGAAATAAAAATATACTAATTCAATCATTTGTAGTAATCATTGCAATCGAAGAAACTATTTTGCTAGATAAATTTGTTTTTATTTTTAACAAATATTTTATATTTTCTATATTTTTTTCTTGTAAACGAGCCAAATTTTATTTTAAAAAATTCAAGAATTTTTACTACAATAAAAATTTAATTTAAAACATTTGCAATATACAAAGGAGATATTGGTATTGCGAAAGGATTTGTACGTAATCTAAAGCTAGTTCTATCGTTTGATGAAACAGAAACGATTCGAGCAACAGTTACAGCGTTTTTATGTAGCTACAGAGAATCAGCCGAGTCGCGGGATATTTTTTTATGATCGGAATAAAGTGTTACGTCATGGTTCTGCCAGTGTATATATATATCTTTGTTTCGCCCGCGCATTATCATCTCCAACCCGCTCGGACACGCTCTCTATCGCGCTCCCGCTGCCGTTATCTATGCGTTTTATACGAAATGTATAAAAATCATTGGATGATATATTTTGGGAGTAGATTATTTTAATCCGTCGTTTTTTTCCTGAAAAAAGTGTAAATAAACGATTAATATATTTTCTAATATTAAATTTCCTTCAATTATGATACTAAAAAAAAAACACTTATTTAGTTTTTAATAAAAAGGAGAATTATGTATCTTTTTTTATTGTATTTATATATTCTTGGATTTTAATTTGATAAACTCTCTATACTTTTAATTACTTACAAGTTGAAAAATATTTGTTCCTTTGTGCTAGAGAAAGAAGAATTAAAGTTAGTTAAAGAATTTATCTCCTAAAATATCAGCCGACGATTTTGGCAGATTCTGTAGGTTTCTATATCTGTAGCCATGTGCGCTATATATACATATATATATATTTTGTAGAGAATAGAAGGCTTCTCTGAAACACTGCTACACGCTAGACGTAGACCTATATATGCGACGCACTATTTGCGTATTCGCGTATGAGTTTTAAGCTCTCTTTCGCCATTTATTACGTCCAATAAAGCGTAATGCGTCGAACTTTTTTATATAACTTTTTTTTTAACTACAATGGAATATAGTAAAGTTCTGTTATTGGAGTTACCATAGTGAGAATTAAATCTTCAATTAAATGACTGTCAAACTAAATTTAGTGTATCAGAATATTATCAATATTAATAATATTTCATTAATACGTTAATGTAATGCGCCCCTGTTACGCTGATGAGTGTTTTAGATCTCATAGATATTTATATTTCTTGATGTAGCTATTTACATTTCTTGTGGTATTATGTATAAATACGTAAGTTATTTTTATCGATTGCTGTGATCTATGTCTTGTTTTTTTTCCGCAAGCAATAAGAAGTGGTACAGATAAGCGATGATAAATCATCTAGATTCTAGCATTTAATTAATTTCCATTACTATAATTATTTCTGTCCTTCCTGAGCAGCTCACGCCCACATTATTTATATCATTGATCGCATTATAAGCTGCAAAATTATCCAGATAAATCTCAGAATTAACAATTGGTGTTGAGATTAATATAATATAAATAACATCTGTAGGGAAAAATTAGACAAGATAATATGTTATTGTATGACGCTATTGTAACGTTCGACCGAGATGTTTGCCACCTTCGGAGCTTGTAGTCGCTTTCAAGGAGATCTTTTCCTGTATTTTTTTTTTCTTACTAGTCGTACGCCGGAAATCCTCCTGAGTGAACTCGGAAAGGACCGGTAGCATGTTGTCATAGCTCTCTTCTCTGCACTCTTTAACGATAGTACAGTCCCGTAGTAATTTCGTTTAGCGTGACCCACGTGAGAAAGGGTAGCTTTTGTAAATATCTTTCCCGCATCCCGTAACCGTCAGATTTTCTACAAGATTTGCAGTTTCTCTGTATTAACTTCCGCAAGAATGTATTATACACACTTGCTGACTTGACCTATTATTATGTCGGAAAATATTTAGAAAGTTGACATGAGGGATCCAATTTTGCAAAAGATTGTACATTATGATTAGATTTACTATCTCATTTTCACTTATGGACTTATTTTATTTAATTGTTTTAAGTGATAGATATTTTTCTAATATATAATGCATCTTTTACATCTCATGTCAAGTTTTTTTTAATCTTCGCAATAATTTACTAGAGAACTTTCTTGAGATTGTAAGGCTTAATTAGGATTAAAGTACTTATTTTCTCTTCTGCATGCCATCTGACTTTATGTATTTATTATCTCTGTATTAGCTGTGTTGAATACTTTTATGGAATTTGAAGAGTATTTATATGATTTTGGCCTTATTTATGAATAGTAAAATTAAATATCTTATTATCAATGTTTTGATATGATTAATGGATTTTGATTAATGTACAGTATATTGTAAGATTTACGTCAAGTTTCATAATTTCTCAAGAAATTTTAGTATATACATTTTTATTTATATTCTTCTTTTTTAATCAAATTTATTCGACTGAAAAAATTTCCTGGAAAATTAAACTACGGAAATTTTTTAGTATTTAATATTACATAAAGTTTAAAATAAACTGAAAGATAAAGTTTTGTTGCTCATGAAAATCTTTTTATTTTAAATTGGTTTTATTTGAATAAAAATTTAAAACGTATTGTCAGAATATTTATCAATTGATGAATTGTTGCAAGGAAAAAATAACTAATCTAATTAATTTAGTTAAAGTTAAAAAATTATTTTCAAATTTGTTAAGTAATTCTCGCTTGTAGAATTTTGATGTAAAAATTACAAAATATTGTGTACATTTTTACTTATACTAGTCTACACATATGTACATAACCGAGAAAAATGTGATATGTTTTAAAATGTTTTCCAATTTTCTCTATATATTTTTGTAAAATAAAATACTTTATAATTATTATTAAAATATAGATTTTTTCAAAATTTTGATTGCTCTTCTCGTCACTTCTATAATATTTTCTTCAACTTTTCTCATTTTTAAATATGTGTAGACCTTTTCAAAGATTTAATTGCTTTGGTTAGCTAGTGCTTTGATTCATTATAGTTTTTCTCATTTTAAACTATAACTGTAAATTTTTAAATATTGTGGCTCTAAATTATAATTTCAATTATAAATGAAAATCAATAAATGAAACTCAATTACGATCAAGGCTAACCGACGCAATTATGTCTAGATGTATGCTAATTATCTTTCTGCAGCTTATTAAACTATGCGTCGTAGCATACTGAGCCAATTAAAATGCTGCCATTAGCATTCCTTTATTCCTCTTTATCTCCCTTGAATACTATCCTATCAAAATTTTATTCCAGTGATTCGCTAATAAACTTTATCCGCAATCTCCACATGATTCACATTACATCATTTTACAGTTTACGGCAGCTGTGGAGTGTTTCCACTTTTCGGCGACATGAACGCCATAGTCTGGTCCGCGGCAGTACTCGTTATGTAAATTATTTTCCCAGGTGTTACAATAAGATGAGCTTCTTTCCGGACACCGAACACTCTGTCTGGTGCACCACAAACAGTACACTGCGCGGTCTAGATGGCATCGAATTCGTGGTCGCCTGTTGCGATCATTCTGACTACTGCAATCGCGATCTAAGGCCTTTCTTTCCTACTCACGAGTCCAGAGGTCGGTCGTATTCTCGTTTTGCGAACCACCTCGGAAGAGGTACAATAAATCGCAGCTAAAACGGCTGCCGCGAAATTCGTCACCTCCAAGGTTGCTCTGGCAGCGAAGTTCATTTCTCCGCTGAACGAGATACTCGCGAAAACGAAATGGTCGATAAATCTAAAGGATTCAATGACGGAAATACTGAAAATAATATTCATCTAGATCAGAAAAAAAATTTTAGATAAAAATTAAAATAAAACTTCAATAATTCATAATTCGAATAAAAAATTTGTAATCTGTTTATTAAAATAACATGTGCTAAAGATTATTTGTATAATTATGGATTATGTAAACTAGAATGTTTTCATTAATAAGGCTGTTGTATTAGTTTGATTGTGCAATATAGGTGTGGTGCCATCAATGCCATTAGATCAATAATCCAGCAAAATATAAGTACGATATTTGATATTGAGAAACTTAACAGACTATATTAATAATATGGCATTTATGTTTTCTAAAAGGCTTTTTGCTTCAAATAGAATTTTAATATTAAAAACAATTTTTTTTCACAATTTTTTGCCATTAATGAGCATTCTTATTATAATCTGTGATCAGTGAAATTTTTATTGCTTATATTTCTATTGTTATAACTATTAATACTTACTAAATTTTTAAAATAATAATTTATTGTTTATTTTGTAATATAATATTTATCGAGACAAAGCAGTTTATGGTCGGATGCATTTCCTGCCTTGTCCGTCCTGAATGGATCATCCGTCCGTGATGTGATGCGAGCGATAGGTTTTGCCTTTGTAATCGTTGAGTTGCAACAAGATGATTTACACAGATAACTAACAGCAGCCGTCACGTGTAATTGCACTTGATAGTTTAACAAAATTAAGTAAATAATTTATCAGCTAAATACTGAGAGCGTCGTTAGAAATATATAAATGATATAAATTTATTTTGAAAAAGAATTGAAATTATATTGATAGCTTATTGAAACGTCGAATGATTCTACAATTGACTAATTAACAATTCTCATCTGTTAAATCATCTATTTCTTTGTCTCATGATGATTTGGTAACTTTTGAGTGCGTTGTTTCATCACCAACTTATATAACAACTTACGCATTAAAAACTCTTGATTCACTCTTGATGCTCAACGATGCAACGAGGCTCGGAAAGCGAGAAAAGGAGGAATACTTATATTTAAATAAGTCATTGAATCCTGACAAGTAATGCAATCTGCGAAACTTTTTGAGGCTTCAATTTCATGTCAACAGCACTTTGCAGCAATGAAAGCAATGGCAGATTTATAAGTTTCGGAGATTCAAATCTATTGTTCATTATTTTTATATGTATAGTCTTTTTACATAATACATGATTTTAAAAAAATTTTTAATTTTGTTGTATTTTATTTCGTTTTACTGCTTTACAATTTTTTATTCTGCTTTTATAACTTTTTAATTTTCTAATTTCTTAATTTTTTAAAAATACATATTTTTTAATTAAAATATTTAATTAAAAAATGTATTTTCTCTACTGTAAACATAAATCCGTCATTGCTTTGCTTCAGCTTTTCGTTTCGCAGATCATGAATTAGCGGGAAAAGGACTTTTCCGATGGCAACCTTGGTAAGGCACGCGTGCGACAGTGATGAGAAAAGCGGGGTATCGATTATCGATTTTCTACGCTTTTGTGAATTGTCTGGGCGCGCACTTTTCACACCACTCTCTCCTCTGTATTCCCCCATGTTTCACGTTCTCGCGTCATTTATCTTGCTTGTGCCAAGCTGACAAGACAAGGAACGGACAGAATGGCTGCCATCGACCGACAGGTCTCTCTATCCTGATCGCGTTCCTCATATATTTTTTTTGCTTTTGAATGATTTTTTACCGAATAAAAATTGATACTTTGTTACTGCTACAGAATGGCATTGCTGTTTCGTTATATAATACAAGATATATATAGGTATATAAATTACGCATCGCGCATATTATCTTCAGAGTGTTTAAAAAAATTACATAAGCATATATAATATTTAAGCGTATTACTCTTAAATTTTTTATTTCAAATTTATAGATATTTATTGCGTTAAACTTAATATTTTAATGTTAAATTAAAAAATGATGTCAAATAATAATTAGTTTGAAATTAAACTTAATTAATTTTTAATTGTTTATTTAAACGTTTTATTATTTATTTATAGGTACTTGCAAAAATTAATTTTTAAAATTACTTTCTATCTAGATTCCAAATGCATTTTGACAGCGTTATTGAACTATGCGCTCATATATTGTCATTTTCTGTTCGTACATCTCTTGTTCGTATTAAAGAGGGGATGCAGATAACGTACGTTCTGTGTACGTTACGTAGATAAGATAATATGGGTCTGTCTACATACATGCATACCGGTGAATTTTGCAACGTGGAGAAATAAAATAGCTAAGGACATTTCCCACAGTCTATCATTTCACGTGTAACTGAGAATATGTTAACCCTAAAACACACGAATCCTTTCCGGTGTCGTGTTAATTTTTGTAATTTTTGCTCACGTATTTTAAGTCAAATAATATAGTATAAAATTGTGTGTGTAGATACGATACATATAATTTTCATTAAAAAAATTTATCTAAATAAATTGTAGGACTAACAAGTGCATTTCTTTTTTAGGCTTAAATTAATTTTACATAAGTATACTAATTGGAATTAATTATTTTCGTGATATAATCTATGCTTTTTCTAAAATTTCTAATAATATATTTAATAATATATATTTAATACTTAGACTATCGAATATCCGACACGGTTTCGATCATTGTTCAATTGGTTGAAATTATTCTAATTACAGATTCAGATTCGATAAACCGAATTTCCTATTTTAGGAAAGACACTGTCTAATTGATTATATTGGAATATTTGCATGATGTTAATAACTTATAAACCGAATGGAAATTTCTTGTTACTTCTTGAAATAGTTGATCAATTGATCTATTCTTATTAAAAAAAAGCACATAGTTATCAAGAACCACATATTACATGTTTACATCAAGTTGATAGATATTGCGACATTACAACGATATTACAACAAATAAGTAGTTCCGGTTGAGATTGCTGAGATTGCAGTTTGATGTGTTATGTAATAAACCCGTTATGTACTCTAGACCCGTATTCTCTACAATCTCTACATCTTATCTCAGTATATTTAAAGGTCAGCGGATTCAGACATCCATACTCCATGCTTAACCATGTTTTTCTTTTAAATAAGAGTAATGTTATAAACTATCGTACACTTTTAATAATAAAATTGTTGAATAATCGACAACAGTAATAGTTGAACCATTTATTTGTATTGTATTTTAAATTATATTAGTGACCAATTATAACCGTAGAAAAATAAATCAGTGATATCTACATGCCAGTGGATTTTCGATCGCGCGAATAGAAGCGAACGTTAGGGATGAGGGTGCAATTTGCCAAGCGCGAATGGAATAGCTTCACCGCGCGGGAATATAAAGTAACGGGACGAGCACAGCGCGATTTGGACAAAGGGATGACGGAACAGGCTGGGAAGCGATATTCATCGATTATACGTGCTCCAATAAATCCGCGAGGGCGGCCAGCTATCGGCTGGCTGGATACCCTCGCAGCAGCGATTCGATATTAGTCCGAGATGCGCTCGCTTATGGAATTCGACACTCACGTGGCGATTTAATTGGCTCCGATGAGAATTTACTGGCAGCACATGGGAGATATTTTCGCATTAAACCATTAGTTACAACGTTGTCAATATTGAAAAGTATCGCATCATTACTTTTGCAGAACTCTGCCATATTTGACATTCTTGATTCTATTTCATTAAATCTTTTATCCAATGAAAATAAATTGAACAAAGATTGATAAAATATAAAAAAAAAGTCGATAGCGTTTTAGTTAACAAATTATTGTTTTTCACGTTTTATATATTTTGAAATATGTACTAACAAAATATCATATAATATATATAAAAATCTGTTAAATTTGGTAATTCCTTAATTTATTGTCGTTATACATACCGATAAGATAATGAATAACATAACACAAAAATATAAGAATTTTTTATTGTATGTTACTTAATACTTTTTAAATAATTTTCCATTAAAGCATATTATTGGAATAATTTACTATATAGGTATAACACGTGATATATAAATAACGTACATATAAAAATAGTTGTTTTGTTGAAACTTTAAAAGTTAAAATGTTTGGTTCTTTCTCCTTGTAACATGGAAAATATATTGGAATATCATACGTCACTATCTGTCGATTATTAAGCAAAAATATTATGTAACGAAACAGAAGGTCTATAAACATTAATTATTATTTAAGTGACATATTTTTATGAACGATATCCTTTTATTGTTAGCGAGGTGCATATTCTCGTATATTACCTCTCATTGTTATTGGAAGACTCATCGTTGACTGTGCGATCATTCATCAGTGAATCGTTTCTCGCTGTGTGTTGCCTGTCATCTCATTGAAATCTTCACAGGGATCAATATCCAATTATATCGCGATTCGTCCTACCTACCTATACGTGGCTCGCGATAACTCTGCCAATTGAATTTCGCGGTTATTTGATTCCACGATGGGTTGTGTGGTTGTTTGTTTTTACGTATATCCAATTTTATCATACTTTTCTGTCTAACTTTCCTTTACAAACTCTTACACTTGGAGAGTAATATCTCGATACGTCTATCCATAATAATTTTACTTCAAGAAAGATTCAATTTACAGCAATTTTTGAAAAGTTATTAATTTGTATGACTTATCTATTTGTAATTCTGATTTGTGGAGATAGCTTTTTAGCATTTTATAACAACTTGATTGGCTGTTTCAGGCACTGCTTAATACCATTTTTACTTAACATTTGTGTGATGAATCTCGATAAATAATTGATTAATAGCATTCGTGTGACTTGAAAGAATATACCTTGACGCTCTTCAATACTGTTATTCGCAAGGTAAGTCAAATTACGTGCTTAACGTACTGCAGATGTCCCGATAAGATCTGTTAGTGAAACATCTCTAATGCAACCACGATGTGAGCTTACGTTGCATACCGCGTAGAACAAAGGATTATCTCGGATTTAACACTAGAATATTCTGTGATCAATGGATTTAATAATGGAAGGAAACATCAGTCCGGTGTAAATGAAGATAAAAAAAACTACGACAAATGATTGTTTTTGTTCGCACTTCGCGTCATTAATATCTGTCAAAAAGATTGGAAAAATGTGAAAACCCAAGACTAACTTGCACAAATCTTCCGTGATTTGTATGACGGCTTGATTTAAACGTTCTAGTGTTAAAACCCGTACAAAATTCGAAATCCAAGTTAACAATTAAAATACAAGGTAACTGAGGATAATGAAGATTAACGGTCGAAATAATAGCAAATCATCGAGGCGCAGTCGTACGTTGATGCATCATGCAATTTTCGAAGAGATTCTTAGGACATCTTCTTTCAGTCCCGTGACTTGTCAGAGGTTCAGCCATGAATCAAGTTATTGGTCATCAATATCAGCATAAGAATCAACATAAGAATTGCCCGAAATCCTGTCCATGTTGCGTTCAATCTCCCCTGAATGTGTTTGTTTAATCGCTGATAACATAGAAATTACTTTGCGTTTTATTAGCTATTTTGTTAGCATTTTGTTTTATATATATTGTATATGTGTTATATATGTTATACACTTTACCGCTTTTCGCTTGTTTTTACGCTTACATATCATAGCTTTCTTGTCTGAAAAACTCTGCTCGTATCTGCTTGCTTTCGAATGAATAACGCATAATATAATAATGGTTTTAAGCAATTCATATACTCTCGCGAAGTTTTCCGCTTCCAAGACCAGAGATATTCAACTTTTCTTTTATGCGGTTATGAGTGGAAATTTTAAAGATACTTTGTTAAATAAATTAATAGAATTAGGTTTAAGGGAATTTGTTTTGTATTCATGTAAATTGCCCGTAAATCTTGAGACAATATATACATACATATGAGGCGCTCATCCGGGAATACACGTATTCCCGGTTGAATATCTCTGGTATTGATGTATCATACCTCTGGTATAATAACGTGTACAACGTCATCAACGCCGAAATTAGCGTACATCCATTGGTGCTTCCTACGTGCGAATAATAACCGAACGTATCTTACCAAAAGTGTCGAGTGACGACGCGACATGGGTTACCTGGAAAATAGCCTTGACGATAGCACTACCAATATGCGTGATCTGCATGGTCGTGATGGCAGTCTATCACATACACATGACCAAAAAGAGGCCGGCTAGGCACTTTCCGGACGACTCGCTGGAGGCTCCGGACCGACCAATTCTGGGCGGCGTCACTATCAGGGACATGTTGGAGATGACTACGAGTGGCAGCGGCTCAGGTAGGTCAAACTAAATTAAAGTCGATCTTGTAAACCCAGTGCGGTACACAGTGACAAGATAAAAGGCAAATCTCTCGAACCGTTAAAAAAAAGTTTCTGATACAGATGTTCTTGTGGAAATATGTTAGTCATTTTTTATCACGGATATATATTTATCAATGACTATTTAGGATAACAATAATTGTAAATTTATGTTATAATATTATTAAAAATTATAAAACTTTTTTAATTATTCTTGATTGTATTGCAAATTTTTTATAGCAAATGTAGCAAATTCTTGCATGTAAAGCATTAGTTTTACATAACTTTATTTTAGGTAATTTTAAAAAATTATTGAAGTTTTTATAATATACACATATAAACAAAGTATACAACATATACGCACTCCTTCTACGTATACATATATTGTATTAACGTGTGTAAAAATACAGATGAGTTATTACATTAAAATTTAATTATTTAGCTCACTAAATTTAAATTGTTAAATTAATATATAACTCAGATTTTGCTCATTTATAATATATTCTTTTGCAAAGTTGTATTTGTACACACGTTATTCGTCTCTTGGTCAGGCATAATACACGAATATGCGACGCGTGAGTCATCTTTAATCATACTGAAATTTACGTTCTCCAATGCCCATTCTCTCTCAAGTAGGCCTGCCACTTCTGGTACAACGGAGTATAGCGCGCCAGATTCAGCTGGTGGAAACGATCGGAAAAGGCCGCTTCGGTGAAGTCTGGCGCGGTCGTTGGCGCGGCGAAAACGTCGCCGTGAAGATCTTCAGCTCGCGAGAGGAGAGATCCTGGTTCCGAGAAGCCGAAATTTATCAGACGGTGATGCTGAGGCATGACAATATTCTAGGTTTTATCGCTGCCGATAACAAAGGTGTGCATTGCATTTTTTTTATATTCTTGTACTCAAATTTAAAATTCTGGCGAAATTGAGAATAATATTTCAGAAGTAATTTCGTGCTTAACGTGTATATCATACTTTCTCAACGTTTATATCTTTTCGTGCTCGGAATATACTTATATTACGCTTGTTTGTATTAATTTAAAAAAAAGTTTTAATACGAATTATTGTAACTCTCTTTTTAAAAAATTTCAAAATAAAAAATATAATTGTGAAGTAAATTAACGTGCTAGTTAAATTAAGCTGGTCTAATAATTTATTAAACAAAAGAATTATGTCGAAATAATTTTCAACTGAAAATGTTTTATTTTTGGAGCTGTTTCGAGCACGTGTACGGACGATCTTCTCAGATTATATGAAACATTGAAACACTGCCTTTATCGATTTCCATTACATATTTTATCATCTCGCACATTACTCGAGAGCTGCTGCGATCGAGTTATATCTCTCCTGAATAAATTGTGACCTGATGGAATGACGGGTCATTTTGTTTCTTTTCAGATAACGGCACGTGGACACAGCTGTGGCTGATAACGGATTATCACGAGAAGGGCTCGCTCTTCGATTATCTCAACAGATCGACCGTCGACACGAACGGTATGATAAGGATGGCCTTGTCGATCGCCACTGGGTTGGCGCATCTTCACATGGAAATAGTCGGCACGCAAGGCAAGCCGGCCATCGCTCATCGGGACCTGAAGTCAAAAAATATCCTCGTGAAGACTAATGGTACCTGCGCCATAGGCGACCTCGGATTGGCCGCCAGGCACGACGTAATCACGGATACCGTCGACATTCAGCTCAACAACAGAGTCGGCACGAAGAGATACATGGCGCCTGAGGTAATTATATTGCCATGTGAAAGAGATTTCTCTGATTTTAAATATAAAAAGCAGAAATATCTATATATTCCTTACTTTTAGGAAGAATAAAACCAGTTTGAAAAATATTAATTAACACTATAATAGTCAATACGTCACTGATAATAACATGTCTATTGTTTATTATAGAGTCAAAATGTTATAAATAACTAATTTATATAATAATAAGATAAATTCTATTATTAGATATGATCCACATTTTTTTTAATTTTAACTATCAAAAACTTATTTTTTTCTATTAAACTGAAATTTATTACATATATTATTCAGACAATTTTTCTATTGATAGAGAAAAAACAGAATAACAGATAAAAACATGTGTGAAAGATAATAATTGTTAAATAATAAAAATATCAAAGATAATTCGCTATAGCTTGCACTCAGGAAGGCGGCTCTTTGGCAACTTGTACGAACGTTTTCTGCTTTCAGGTTCTTGAAGAGACGATAAACATGAACCACTTCGACTCGTTCAAGAGGGCCGACGTGTACGCACTCGGTCTGATCCTCTGGGAGATCGCTAGACGTTGCAATGTCGGCGGGATTCACGACGAGTATCAGCTGCCCTTTTACGACTTGGTGCCTTCCGATCCAACTATCGAGGAAATGCGGAAAGTCGTGTGCACTGATCGACAGCGACCGTCGATTCCGAATCGATGGCAATCGATCGAAGTGAGTAATAAGGCAAAAAGTAGACATAGTTTAAATCACCAACTTTATCCAGAATAATTGCTTCAAAAAATAAATTAGATACATAAAATACTTATATAGTCTCTAACTGATAAATTCTTTCGTTTCAATGCTTGTATTTATATATTAACGTTCACATGATTTGAAAATATACAATTATAAAACGTCATAAAATTATAGCAATGATAGGAAGATAAAATGTGAATCGAAAAACATTTTTAAAATAGCTTTTGATTAAAAATTTAAATTATTAGTTAAAGTTATACCTTATTGAAGCTGTATGAATTACATAAAATTAATGTTATGCTATAAAAATATTGGATAAAATTTATACTGATAATGAATTAACAATTTATTATATCTATTTAGGCTCTGCAAGTAATGTCGAAAGTAATGAAGGAATGTTGGTATCACAATGCCGCCGCCAGGCTAACCGCACTCAGGATCAAGAAATCGCTCGCTAATTATGGCGCTATAGACGACCTGAAATAGATTAAGGTGTGTCTCGCCGAGCTCTTCGACGGGAAAAACGACAAAAATCGGATGATTGGATCATGTATGCGAAACGTTGCTACTTAGAAATTTGAAAACGCGATGGCGCTTCCGGCTGGATGAAGAAATATTTCGCGAAGTCGAGAAGAATCGAGAGCACAGACCGGCTGGAGTTACGAGATTCTTCCTCGTGTGAGATTGGCCTCGACCGTCGAGTAAAAAGTACTGTATGAATAGAATTGGTATCGCTTTGTGCAGAATCGTGAGCAGAGAAATAGAATGGATTTTTATGCGTGTTGATTGTTTCAAACGATCGGTATAGCGCGCGAGCTATAGGAAGAAACATTATTTCAGTCCCGATATATCGCGGCCTGATGATCGGTCACTCTGTTGAATGAATGGGTCAACAGGCAATTGCAATACGCGTTCGGTTAATCGAACGATCGCTCAATTACGCGTCACACACATTGACACACGCGAACACTGATACATAAAAAAAAAAACACCCCGCAGCATATTTATTACGATAATGCTAAGATAATGAAGTATACAAATTTATTATATAGCATTTATTAATACTAATGAGTAACAGTACTCGCATATACACACGTATATAATTATATATTACATATATATACATAAATATATATATATATATCCCCCGTTATATCTTGGAGTAGTCGATTCGATTAACCGAACTATTGTTTGAGCGATCTTACAAACAGGTTATCTCAGTGATACGATCATTGTGCTCGCGTAAAGTATGTCGATTTCGCTGGAAGTAATCAGGATGTCGCGCAAGATTTAAACGTATCAATTCAGCTTAGACTGGACGTGTCGGCAGCTTATGCGCGAAGAAAGTCACAACGGAATAACATTTTTTTTTATCTCAGTTCCGAAAATTTACCGTAAAATATTTGCAATTTTATCGGCGCATGCAGAGATCAGAGATTACATTATACAATAGAATCATATGTATGGTATAGGGATCCAGTAGACAAGAAACATTAGATCAATATTTCAAAATATTGATCTATTTTATATAAATTTTATCAACATATTTATGTAATATTTTGTAATATTTAATATTTAAAAAATGTTTTAATAGTATTATTCCAAATATTCTATAAATGTTGCTCTGATTAATAAGATTACCGCATTATTTGCAACGATATTTCACTTTCATTTCAATATTAAATTTCTTTAGAAATATGAAATTTCTAGATGTGCATCAAAGTTTGTGTACAATGATGCTATGTGCAATATTAAGAACTACATCCCAGAAAAGATCAGTCCGTCGAATCGATGTCTGGGATTGCTGAAATAATATTTTGTTTACTGAGAAACCTACACCATACAAAAGAAATACACGTCTTTTGGTTTTTCTTTTTCTGGAAAAAAGTGCCGAGTTCGTTGATAAAAATGATCATACAGGGTAGATAGGAAAACCGGACAACCGATTGGTTAACGTTGTCCAATAGAGTCGGATAATTCGAATAAAACGGATCTTCACGTCGAAGACGGGAAATTCTCCATTTAGTGAAGGCATCAGCATTCACTGATGAAATTCATTGACGGGATATGTTGCTAAATAAGATGTGCTCACCCTTCCAGTGTGAGGCGTCGTGAAACTTTGGCACATCGTCCGGTTTTATTTGTCGACCCTATACGTATACTCTTAGTATAGTATGTAGATACATACGAATGTTTTGCTCAAGATAAATATTTTTGCGTGATCATTACGGGAAGTGAGCGCGATACGCAAATGGTACGGCGAGGCTTTTGAGGTGTGTTTTTCTTTTGTAATGCAGGAAGAAGGCTGAAATTGATATTGATATTAAGCTCAAAAGCGCGCGTGTATCCGTGTGGATGAAAAGAAATACGAGAATGTGAGCAACGTGTGAGAATGCGGCGGGAGTTGAACTTAGGGCCGGTACAAGAGAAAGAGGAAAAAGTGAAAAACAAATTTGATAAAAAAAAAAGAGAGAAAAAGAGAATCATTGGAGGATCCATATTTTCGGGTATTTTTTGCGTGGAATAAAGAAAAGTACGAAGTATAGCGACGATCGGTATCGGTTGCGTATATCAGACGGGCGGATGTAGTTAGGCAAGAAGAAATCAACTGATATTTAACAAATATAGTGACAACTTTTGAGACAACTTCTTGAACGTGTTTGCTACTTCATCACTTTTAATAATGCGAACCTTTTTAACAAATAAAGAATGCCGCGGAGAAATTTTCTGCGGCATATGTTTGAAACTGAAAGAAATATTAAAGAAAAGTTTAATGTTAAAATGTAGCTCTTAAACAGTAAGTGTAAGATAATATAAGATTTTATGTATATAAGAGAATAATAACGTATATTTAAGAGAAATTAAATGGAGAAGCAGTATTTTCAAGGTTGGTTTCTTCTAGCTCGACCATGTCGCAAGTGCTCTTTGGATTATTTCCATTCGTATTGCGTTAAACCGACGTTGAAGAAATTTACCCGTTTGTCGAATGCCGTTTTATAAACTTTTTTCTTTTAACGTAAAACTTCGAACGTAGAACCTTCAGATGAATTTACATCCACGCGCTATATTTCAATATATGGATTGAAAAGCAATCGTAGTGCTTGAGGTAAGTATATAACTTTGATATACCGTGAGATACTAAGAATGCGACGAGTATGCGTATGGGATGTCTCTTTGTGAAACATAATTATAATTCTCGACGAAGAGCAGGAGAAACTGTCCGCGAACAGATTCTTCTCTTCTCCAACGGATTATCGTATCGGATAATAGAGTGTATAGTGTATACTTCTTTGACAAAGTGAGAGAGGACTATGAAAAGACGATTTATTCGGAGTGAAAGATAGGAAGCGAGCAAAGCGTGCGACAGAATAATATAGGAGAGAGCAAATAAGAATCTTCGTCATCCAATAGTCAACGTAAAAGTCTGCGAGGTTACAATTATCATTATTATACTGTAGACGGAAGAACGGAGGATCCTTCGAACACATAATCATATTTTTGTATTGTTTTTTTACCGGTGATGACGATCGAACGTCGTACTAATTTTCCCCTTCCGTTTTTTACATGCTCGCAACGTTCCGACCCAGTTGTATATGATTTCATATAACGAGGGCACTACACTTAACATAAATCAGTGCCGATAGTTCTTAATTGATGTGACAAACCCTAATTTAAATGATGTCATTAAATTCGTAAAATTTTATAGGAAACTTTTTTTTCAGGAGTAAAGAATAATTATAATAAAAAAATTTTGATTTCAGTAAATTGTCTCAGAATTAAAATCTATCAGTGCTAATAATTGAAATCAAATATTTACTAGCATTTTCATTGATAAAAACAAAAAATATATATTTATAAATTTTGGACACCATTTTACATATTTATTGGAACAGAACATTATGATACTTTACAATTTTAAACATTTAATATCATTAGTAATTAAATGTGTCGTCGCGCAAATTAAGAACGAACAGCACTGTAATGATGCAATAGAAATATGCGCTGTAAATAGATAAAATATGTCTCTAAAAATTAATTTTGTACATTAGTATTCGTGTTTTTTTTTAATGCAAACAAGATAAGACGAAACAATTAACAAGATTCATTTATCCTGGAGTGACGTTACATGTTCGTTGCGGATTGCAATTTGCCGAAAGACTGAAAATCTACGATTGATTAGTAAATAATAAATAAGATTAAAAAAGGCATCTACTTTTACCTTCAAGTTAAAATCTTGATATTAACATTCAGAATAGTTTTATTTACATGAATTGTACATAATTTGTAATTAAAAAGTTAATCTCTAAATTGCTTTTGGTTGACAAAATCACGAGAGTATACTTTTAATTTTTAAATCAATTTCTTTGACACTTCTTTTGAGACAGACTTCAAAAAATACTATTGCATCAAAAAGTTTTGTTTTCTATTGCTATTATAACTTCTTTTTCTATGAGTGCAATTGTTTAATATTTTTTTTTATATTTTGGTATCAGAATTAATTTTATTAAACTCACGTTTAAACAATTAAATTGATCTAACGACTTTCTTTATTGGTCTAATGATATTCTCTATTTTTCATTATCGAGAAAATAGAAATAAGACTGAACTGTCTTAGAGACATTTAGATATTTCTACATTTTCTAACCTTTTTGCTTAAGATATAGAAGTTTCAAGCAAGAATTTTTATTTCTGAGAAAATTTTACACTCTTGATCTTTATCATAAATCATAGATCTTATCTTAGAATTAGTAATTACAGATTTGGAAAGGTTTTTACTATAATTGGAAGTAATAGTTGCCGGCGAATATATATCATACGAATCTTAACAAATTGTTGCTCCGAAAAAAGCGACAATCTTGTTTCTTTACTCGTTCTCTTATACATTCCCTGTTACAATATGTAGGTTAATTTATCATACGTAAATATAACTATAATCTGTGCATCGGTAAAGCTTCACGATGACGTTCTGCACGACGCAAAATCTGTCGTAAGTTCGACTGATGTCTCCCCTGCCCCCCCCCCTCCCACACCTGTTTCCATACTACTAGTACAACTCTCTGTGCCAATACCTGACCGAGTATTAATTAAAACGAGAGAGACAGGATAATAATGTACATTATATTTCCACGAGTTACACTCGCTCCCGAACGAAGAAAAATATCTTTGGCGTTGCCTCTTCTGATTTTTCTGCACTACAATACCAATTTTAAGCGAAGTAAGTAATTGTTTGACGAAACATTATAAAAATCTGAGAAACTTTGAGGATTACATCACAGAAAAAATTAAATGTCACTCTACTAAATAAATTTCTCTTAGTTTACACATATTTAGCAAAGGATATATTCAATGTAACACATAGAGTTGATAAATTAATTCAAATTAGAATATATCCACTTGATTACAAGATTGGAATTTGCTGAAAAGATATTTTTCTTCCTTGTATACATAGTCATTGCCAGCTATATTTCCGGGCGACGAATATCGACGTCACTCCTGAATTCGTCTTAATGCCAATTAAATCATCGAGATTGCAACTGGGTCGCCGAACCGTCGTACAGTCTGACTTATATCTGACAAATGCCGAACTGCCAAATGATATATTTCATCCTCAGCACCCTTTTTTCGCTCCGTACCGTTTAAGCCTCCCTACATATACAAAACACACACACACACACACAACACACACACACTTGTACAAAAGACTAAACAATAAATTAGAAGAGAACGTTGCACAGGCGGCATTTATGCCAGCATCGATTCCGCTAGAAGGAAGAAACTTGTACCTTTAAGGCGATTTACCGTCTATTTTGTTTTACGCTTTAGATGATACCAGTGTTTATAACGATTACCGGTGGAAAGAAAAAAATCTTGTTATCGAAAAAAATCGCATTGTCCTGATATCTCATTTGAGGTATAATAAATATGTATATTTGTTAAATAAAATTATAATTAAATATATTTTAAAATATATTATACTAATTATATTTTAGAGATATTCTATTTTAAGTCAGAAGAAAAGCTGAGAATTTTGAAATCGCTTTATGAATTACGTTTATCGTGCTATTTATATTGTCTGCTGTGTGAATCAATTGCATAAAATTTAGTTTTGTGAAACTAAATCAAATTAAATTAAATTTATTTTTAATCCTTTTTTAAATAAGAAAATTAAATAAAACACAATAATAATTATTAACATATTAATGCAAGTTGCTTTGTCGTATTTTGTTAATATTTAATGCATAAGTAATTAATTTATTATATCACATACATTGGAAGAAATATTTTTTCTTCCTTTTTATATTTAGAAAAAAATTATACTGCTTTTTACAGTAAAATTATACAATATTAGGCTAGAAAGAGAGTATCGAAAATTATTCTGAATTTTATAATTAAAGAGCGATTTGGAATAATTTAATCAGAACAGTGCGATTTTTTAATTAATGATACTACGTATTATATTATATAAATACTATACAAATAAGTTAATTAGCGATTGCTAAAGGTTTATAGACCAAAAATATTTTTCATTTGTTTGGATGGTTTGGAGAAGTTATTGCAAATTTTGAACGATTATACAACCTCCGAACAAAGAGCTTTTATTCTATTTATTTTCCTCTATATAATTAAACCAGTCTAATAATAATTTTGTTTGCAGTTAATTATTGTTCTATCATTTTTTTGTGTTGTTTGTTCTTTTGTAGCGTTATTTACATTTAAAAAGATTAAGTTCTTACAATTGTATTGAATGTATTATATCGAATTTTAAAATATTTGTTTAATTAGAGAAAAAATACTTGGGCGTTATTAGTAAAATTATAAATATGTGTATTTGGATGAACTTGTCATAATTTTGATAATTTATCGTCTCTTTCGTTGTTGTCTAAATTTATAATAATTTATTATTTTTTGTCTATTACTTTATTTTGGTGCAAATAAAACTTATGTTAAAAAGGAATACGAAAGCTTCCAAATTAAATTGCTTGTAGGCGCGATTCTTGGTTTTTATTTTATTTTATATAAATATGTTACTTAGAAGAAATATCTATTAGTAATACTATTAGCGAGGATAAGTTCATTGTTTCATCATTGCTATATCATAATTTCTATTCTCTGTGTTTCCCATTTAATTGTATAATACTCTGTACATAATGGTGTAAATGTTGATCGACAACTTATATATGGATAGAATGCGCACTTGTAATTTTCGTAACAGCGGGTGGGTGAGTTGGTGAATGGTACCGTTTCATCTTTGATTACTCGTAAACGTTTGTAATGGGCATGTCGCGTCTCCTCTATTTTTCCATCTGCTCTCAAATATATCGCGATAAAATATAGTGTCACAGAAGGTTGTTGCTGTTAAAGGTTTATCTCGATGTAAAGGAAATTTGCAAAGTGTTGGTGGCTCGTAATGTAATAGGAATAAAGAAATAATAAGTTTCTCAGAGAGAAAGAGAGAGAGAGAGAGAGTTTCAACTTATACAAAACGAGATATAAACGTGGAATAAAATCTATATCGAGTGGAGTTGTTTGTGAAATATTGAACATCGCAAAATAATATGCGCTATAAATGTACTAAAAAATAAAATACCCATAATTCGCATAAATTATCATTGTAACGAAAGAAGAGAATGGAGAGCAACAACTCTTTCTACGGGCATATTTTGCTAGAAAGCTGCTATGGTTTTTGGTATACACACTTTGAAAGACTGAAATGCTTACTTTTCTCGAAGTGAAACGATCTATAGCGTTAACAGAAAAGCCACGAACATGCGAGAAACATACCGACGATCCAATGAGTTACCGTTTTTCTATAATTATCGCAATACCACGTATCTCGCGTGTCTCGTGGCACAAATATAGCAATCGGCTTTATCGAGCTCGATAAAGTTTTTTCCACTTTTTTTCGTTAATATAACAAATTAACAATCGCGTTCCGCGACTCTTTACGATACGCTCATTTGTTACTATAGAAGTCGAGTTTTCTACGATTTATAAAATAAAAACCGGTGACTTGTGTGTGTTAAATCAACCATTAAATTACTGCCGCTGTATAAAGCGTGCCTGGCGGTGTGTGGATGGATCTTAAATATTGTTAATAGATATACGTACCTAATGTTATTAATTATTAACTCCTGATTTGTAATTGGAAATGCGAGATTATTGAAGCCCGACGTATGAGACAAGATTTAACACGAGAACAGCAAATTGATAAAATAAATTTAAGACATTTATGAGATGTACAATTAGAAATGGAACTTCCATATGTTTCGGGCTTCACAAATCTGGCTTTTAAGCGGATCCTACTAATAAACGCCATAGTGGTCCGAAAAAAATAATTAGCTCGAATAAATTAAATTTACTTTAATGTACTTCTTTGTTCATTTTTCTTTGATACCTTCTATCATCAGATTTTTAAATATGTATCAAACAATAAAATTTAAATAAGTAGAAATGTTTTATACGACAATTTGGTTTTACGATCGTTTCGTGTAATTTAAAATTTGCAATGAAATTCGCGACTGACCAGCACAATTGTGTGTATTGCGCAATACTAAAATTGTTTGTTAAATATTTCTCAGTTAAAAATATAAAAAATAATAATAGAACGAAACATTATTATTATATTATTTTACATTACATTTTTCTACAGTACGTAAACTGAAGTACAATAATTATATTTGATAGTACTGACAATTACAATTTCTCGAACGCTAGTTTTTAATTAAACATACTGTATGGTAAGGGGGAGGAGGGTGCGTGTATATATAGTTAGCGTCGTTGTGTTACCTTTTTAAAAACATAATTTTGTATGAATGTTTAATAATCCTAATATATTTATCTACAATATTAGAAAAAATTCTCAATTTTATTTTGACATAAAATAATCCTTGCTAATAAAATTTCATAGGACAGTTTCAGGAACATGGAAAATAAAGCACGCAAACATTTTCGTACGTACGTGTTTCACTTTATTTATTAAATTAATTGTTGACACAGGTTATTGTGTATGTTGTATAGTGAGAGTCGTGTATATGGGCAATAGTTACCTATCTATATAGTAATAGAATAGAATTAAAATTATCCTTTTAAATACAATTGCGATACGCGCGTATAGAATGGCGTGAATTGCCATTGTTCTCTTCTTGCATTTCTTATCCGTTTCTCTCTGCCCTCACGTTCGATTATATTCGCATAATTGAAGCGAGAAGATCGTTAAATTTTATTTGTTAAACAATATATTGATTCTTAATTTCGACATATTTGA